TTTTAGGGCTGTCCGCAGAGGAGGGACGGCAGAGAATGAACTCTAAAACACAAAGCACTAAACATGTCTAAGTATGAACAGAAGGCACATATGTTGTAGAATAAATTATGTATATATTTTTTTACAAAACTTGAACTTGCAGGCAAGCTTTGGTTGGGTTATTATTATTTTTTTTTCAACTTTTTCCAGAATGCTTCTCTCTAGGGAACAAGAATGTTTTTAATGGCATAACAAAGGCAAGAATCTGCCTTATTATTATTATTATAATTATTTTTTAAAAAGCTGCTGCTAACTACATGAACACAAATGGTTATTTTTGTTGCAGTGTAGTTTTTATTTTCTCTTGTGTAATTTAAAAAAGAAAAAAGTCAGTGTTGAACTTTTGGGGTTGAAAAGCTCGTGATCACTTCAGAGAGGCCAATGTTGCCAGAAAGTCTAAACTCCTTTTGAGGCCAGTAGTTTGATAGCTAGAATCAATTTCTCTCTTTCCAATTACATAAGGGGCATTATGTAATATCAGGCCAATCAGTAGCCTCCAGCAAAATTATGATTTTTGGGGGGAGAATTTAATTCTCTGTCTAAAGGAAAAATGAAATAAAATATATATATATATATACATAGAAAAAATACTAAGTTAAAACTACCTAAATGGATACCAAAGAAAATGCACAGTTTTGCACAGCGGAGTTTATTTAAAAAAAAAAAAAAAAAGACAGAAAAAAAAGGAAAAAAAAAAAGGAACAGGCTGCTTCAAACAACGGAAAAAATTCAAACCTCAGACACTTTTTTTGTTTTTTTCTTTTTATTTTCTTTTCTTTTTAAGACCTTTATTTTGCACCTTATTCTAAAAGCTTAAGACTCAGATCTAAAGCGAGCTAGGACTCCTCCCCTTCCCCCCCTGCTCTTCTAAGGGGAAATAAATTCCCTTCCTTCCTTGTGAGGAGCTGGGGGAAGCAAACAAGGAGACATCTGTCCTCCCCGGTCGCTCGGCGAGCTGGGCTGCAGCAGAAGGTCAAGCGTTAGTGCACACATTCCCAAACCGGCGCTGACCCAGTCTCTGAAAACTGAGCCACCCTCTGGGTGCTGCAGGCGTCTGACCCGAGCCCCTTGGCCGCCGCGGCGTTACCAGTTCAACCATGCCAGGGACGCGCGGAGCTGCTGGTCGATGCTAGAGGCTGACGCTGCTGGAGCGGGCGTTGAGGCACGGCTGAGCCAAGCGATAGATAAATCCCCGGGAAGAGGTTTTTGAAGAGGAAGGGAGAGGGCGACGGAGAGGAAAAGAGAAAACAACTTTTCCAGCACAGTGCTTGGGAATGGCGTGGGGAACTGTAGCGTTTTGTAAAAAAAAAAAAAAAAAAAAAAAAAGCTTCTCTTCAGCAGGGCGAGGGTGTCAGAAAACAGAAAAGTGTGTTTTCCAGCTCATTTGGAGAGGGATTATTTGGGGAGGATGAGGTTGCAAAGCGAGGTCCGTCTCCTGCCTCGTCTCCCTGGCGAACGCCAACTGAGTGGTCAGGGGAGGAGGCAGGTCCCCGAGCTCTGAGCGGGTTTTGTGACCTTCAGCGAAGCTCTGGCTCTAGCGGTGTTTTGGCTCCTTCACCCCGAAGGCTTTAAATTCTCTGTGCCTCTCAGATCAAGGAGACAGCGAACCTGCGCTTCACGCCTGCTCCCCGAGGAGCTGGTGGAGAGGGGTGGTGGTGGGGACGATAATCCTAGTCAACTCTTGCAGTATTGGATCACTGTATGCCATTAAAAAACAGCTTGTTCTAGGTCTAATGTCTTCTGCAAACGGATATCTGTGAAGGCCTCTGGCCCCTTCCAGCCCTGCCTGAAAGAAATGCCTGCAATAAAATGGTTTCTGATAAGATGGTATCTACAGTGGGTGGGTTCAAAACTGTGGAAATACGACATGGTAAACATAGATTTGGCTACTAGAGAGGGCAGATGATGAAGTGCAAGTACTAAGGCTGTTAACTGGGGTGGGGGGATGTAAGAGAAAGGAAAGGCTGAACGCATAAAGGCGATTTGATTGCAGTTTCTGGGTCAACAGTAGTGAAGACAACTGAGTGCTGCTAGTGCTGCTATTGTGATCTTCTCAGAAAAGGAAACAAACTAAACCAAAGAGTATTCAGTGAAACAGAAGGTGCATGAAAACGCAACGGGGAAGGGACGGAAAAGGGAGGCTGATGGGGAGAAAGGGATCCCGTTCTCCAGGTCAGCATCCCCCAGGTGCACAGTGCTCCCGCTAAATGATACTTGAGATATTAGAGGGAGGGATTAGAGGTGGGAGACAGGAAATACAGGATTCAGCTTGTTTCTTTAAAGCAAAAGAAATTCAGAGGAAAAAAAAAAAAAAAAAGATCCCCTCCCCCCCTAACATTTCTGGTGCAGAGGTTTTGGGTTTGGGGGGTTTTGTTTCATTTTGTTTTGTTTTGTTTTTCAAGTCAGTTTTTCAGAAATATTTTTAAAATGTACATTTTATAAAGTTTATCAAGTATTTTCATATTTAAAGCCAAATGTAAATAGAAGTCTGTAAAGGAGGACAAGAAGACGAAAAAGAAAAGGCCACAAAAAGTATAAATTCTGCTCGGCGGTCTTGGCTAGCTAGTACCTAGATGCTACCGGTTAGCATGATTTTTAGCAAATACTTGCAAGCCTTATAGGATTCCTAATGCTATGAACTTCTCTTTATTTATTTTTAAGCATGGACTTTTAATTTGAAAACATGTTCTAGTTACTGGCATTTTTAAAAGTTACCAGCTTTCCGAGTGCTAGTCTTGTCAAGGGCGTACATTGAGGTAATCCATTACACTCTCTGCCGCGTTCTTTTTCTTTTTTTTTTTTTTTTAATAACCCTTTGTCTTTGCTGATTGAATCTTACATTGCAGAATTGCACTCAGCCTCTGGCTCCGGGAAGCTGCTAGAAAGAGACCTGCAATGTACACTCCATGGTACCCTTCCCCCTTGTCCATCATTTCTGTATTTCCCAACATGCCGTGGTGAGCCCAGGATAGGACAGGCTATCGTAGCAAACTTCTACAGCAGCAAATTGGGTTAGTAATTTTTTAAAAAATGTTGTTATTTTTAAGACCTACACAGTGACTGACAGCGTTTCTTCAGTTCCCCATGATCCTGGGCCAAGCTGATGCTTTCTTAGGGGCCCTTTAGACTGACTGAGCTCTACCCACAGACTCCAACAGGCGTCGGTTCGGCCTCTTTATCAAGGATAAGGTTGGCTCAACTGGCTCGCACAGAAGATTTATGCTGTATTTCGCTTAGGGTCTGGGGGGGAATATGTTATTTCTGCCCTTCCCTGAAAATACTTGAATGAGACACATTGTCTGAAACATAATACTGCGTACAGTGACAAAAAGCATTTCCGAGGCAGGTGGGGATGGATCTCTTCTTTCCTCTGTCTCTTCTGTGCGAGTTGTCCTTGGTTAAGTAGCAAGGGTAGAAATCATTACTTATTAGCTGTGTTTAATGATACTCTGTCCCAGCCATGATAAACTTCTGTGTTGTTAGTTTAGCACTCGCTCTTCTCGGAAAAGACAAAGGGTCCAGATATTTTATTTGTTCTCTTAGGTCTTCTTTTTCGCAATGGATTACAAGGTAAAACTGAGAAGTACTGTAATGTCTTTAAATTATGGCTGCTCACAACCATTGTAACGGAGAAGGGTGCTGCACAGTTGCCATCCCACAGCCAACGAGAAACTGATTTTTGTAATGACTTTTGGCCTGCAGCTCTTGTAAGGTGAACAATCCAGGCGTCTGACAGTTGTCCATTACTATTTTCCTGTTTGCAGCCTTTTTGTATCAAAGTCTTCCTAATGTACTGCACAAATTGTGGATTGTACAGATTTTTATATATTATGTCTTATTTTATTATTTCTAAATAAATAAAAAAAAAAAATCGAGAATGACCTGATGTGTGCAGCACGTATGTAAATGCACCGAGGAGATGGGTCTGGAGGTTATTATATAGCTGTGTTTATGGCTGGCTGAGCACAGCTGTTGTCTGAAGCACTTTAGGAAGAGACAGGCCGTTCTCTCCCGTGACAAAAGCAGGAGGAAAGGTGACACCATCGTTATTTCCCAGCTGAGAACACGAACACGGTGCAGTGTAAGGCACCTTGCACCAAAGGAAGATCTGCCCCAGACAGACGGAGAGACTCCCTTAAGGTCACACCCAGCACTGCAGAGCTCATTAGCTACAAATGGTACGAAACGGAAAGAAAAAAAAAGCCCCAATTCTGCATAAAATACAAAGCAGGGGAAGGAGGTGGGGAATGAAAACACAGAGCATAGGCAAGCACATGGAAAGATTTGGAAAGGGATTAAAAAGTTAAGCAGGAAACTCATCTTCAAATCCCTGTGTTTCATGTCTGGCTGGAACATCCCCTCATTGAAACGACGCTCCTCAGCTCAGCTCAGCTCAGCTCAATTCCAAACACGCTCGCTGTAATCTTCATACGTGCCTCGTCGGGCTGGAGTCCTGAGCCTGATGGCACGAGCGTGGAGCTGGGTTTTTGTGTAACAGGACAGGGAAGCGTAGCGGGGACATGCCTTGAGTAGCTGAAAAGAGACTTCATGCCCTTATTAGTCTGGGTTGGAAAGCTCCTTTCCCGCTGTTTGTGTGTGGCCTTCAGGGCAGATATTGGGGCTGCACAACTGTGACTCAGCTTGAAACTGCTGATCTAACCGGAATCAAACATGCTGCAGTGGCTGGGGGTGGCTGAGAAGCCTTTCAACACCGTTTTGACCCCTTTGCTGATTTTTCAAACTTTTTATCAGTCCGTAATGCCATTAAATGATGCCTCAGATGGAGCCCTGACCCTGTCTGGAAGGTTTCCATTTATAAATTCAAATTTACTTTTCAAATCTAATGGTCTCTTGGAAAGCTTATACTCATAATTACAGGGCTGGATTTAGAGATACAGATTAGCTGTCACAGTCTCAATCTGC